TTTGATGTCTTTGGTGTAACTCATGGACAGTCTTATGTAAAATGATGACACCCTTAAGGATGTTGCAGTATCGCACGAAAGCTAGATGGACTTGTAATGTTGTCTGCCACCGAATCGATTATGTTAGTTGCTAAATATGGCTAAGCTCCACATTCCAGCTTCACCCTTGAATTGATTTTAGTAACTAGTTCGATAGTCAAGCTTGTGCCTTTGTATGTCCTGGTACCTCTCATGCCAATAGATCCAATGATTATGTCAAAGAAATGAAAAATTAAAAGAAAAAAGAGTAGTAATCTCTCCAGATTTTGGTGCATGCAGAATATGATGTATGCAATCTCATTACAGATATAAATACATCACATATGTCTACATGCATCAAACGGCTGGCTTTTTTTACAATGGGGAAGAAGAGATGAGGATGATGTGTATATATGTAGAAGAAATCTGAAAATCTGGACTCCACTTAGCTCCAATGATTTATGTGTGACGGGGCAATGTACGATGTGGATGGTGATGTGAGAATAACTCAATTAATTAGGTTCCATACATGTTGATTGTTGTCGGACCAATAACCTACCCTACCTGTATCCGTGTCCTTTTTTTCCAATGTTATTATGCTTAGTTCTTGTGGCGTGCTGTACACTTAATGTTTGGGTTATCATCCCCCTCAGTATACATGATTTATTTGTTAATTGGTCTAAGGCGGGTGGTAACATACATAATTCATTGTTATTAACTGCAGCGTCAGCTTTATGTTGGATAATCTGGTTAACAAGAAACGAAGTAGTTTTTGACAAATGCAGACCAAAAACTTTTTTGCAGGTGCTATTCAGGGGAACTCATTGGCTACGGCAATGGGCAAGGCTGCAGCGGCGTAATGATCTACGGGATCAGCTGATTCTTATTGGGCAGCATCTGGAGACATCAGCATTGCACTTCTTTAATTCCAATGGATAGTTATCGACTAGGTTTATTGGTCTTCATTAGTGAGAACTTTACTTCCCGCTTTGTTTTCCTAGTGTCTACTTGTAAGCTTGTGATCCCTGTGGATTGTGTGTTGATCGCTGTACCGAACTTTGTAATAATTAGCCTAATTCTACCCTGAGGTAGATGAAGCCGGATATAAACTATCCTTTATCTAAAAAAACTGTATCCGTGTCCGGCCTTAACTTGGATCTTACTTCCCAGTCTCTTGCAGGTACTCATAAAGATAGAGTGTGTGCGCATATATATGAGAGCTTCTATGCGTTCTTTGTCAAACAAATGTAGCAAGAGGATGGAAGTTAGTGAGACATGGAAATGGTAGGTAGAAAAATAGTCCATAAAGTGCTGGTTGCCTGGTACTTCAGAGGCTCATATAAGAGAGCTGGAGGGAGTACAAAGAAAGCCCTGGATGCTGTATTGATCTTACTAAGTGAATCGTGCCTCGCTTCATTTCTGTGAAGGTTTGGCTTAACTAGAAAAAATAATAACACAATTATGATTATTTTGGCCATGTTGCACCGGTGCGAAATCGGTTTTAGAACACTTGGGATTTTATATTAAGAGGCGGCACTATTAACCTACCGCCTCTATAAATCAAATAGGGGCTAAGCTAACAATGTTTCTCCAAGTTTTGTGCCTGATGGATCAATGTGGTCAGAAACTGCATTTTCAACCATCAGTGTGCTGGTCATGGGTCTATATAGTACCAGACGCAGGTGAGAACACCGCTTTGGACATGAATTACACTAAGTTTTGGGGCATCCTCGAAAGAATCTTATACACTATTGAGCCGCCCCTACAAATGATGCCCAAACAATCCGCTCCTATAAATACATTTATAGCGGCTGCTGGTGTTATCAGCCGCCCCTACAGATGGCTTGATTTGTAGGGGCGGTTCTATATCCAGCTGTCCGTACAAATTGGATTTGTAGGAACGGCTCAATACAAATAGACGCCGAATAGTAATAATTAAGCACTAAAATTTAAATTTTTTCAAACGACCTCGGATGGAGAAATGACCAAAATAAAAGTTGTAGATATCGAAAAGTTATGAAACTTTGCTGTTTACAACTTTTTATTTGAAATAATTTACTGCTTTCAAATATTATTTGAAATTCAATTTTCAAATTGTTGAATAACACTGGTTTCTCTTTTTAATCTCTGGCTAAAACTTGTAACTAATCTTTCTCCCTCATACTAACTTCAAATTTAATGATTTTTTTCTAAAATTTTCTAAAAATCATGCTCTATCAATTTATTGTATTTTATAACTATTATTTTATCCATCTTTTCATGTGACTGTGTTTTATCCATTTGAATTTTGAATTTCAAAAAATAGCAACTTCAAACGTTATTTTGAAACATTAAATGATTTCAGCTGAAAAAATCATGAACATAAAAGTTGTAGAACTCATCAAGATCTACAACTTTTATTTTGGTCATTTCTTCATCCGATAAAGTGATAGTAACATTATTCATAAAATTTATACTTTATGGACTATAAGAGCGATATGTAAAATTTATGAATAATGTTACAACCACTATGTCAGATGATCAAATAATCAAAATAAAAGTTGTAGATCTCGGAAAGTTACAGAACTTTGTAGTTGACAACTTTTTTATTTGAATTCATTTTATCAAGAAAAACTACGTTTGAATTTCTCAAATTTGAATTTTAATTTTTTCAAAAGACCTCGGATGGAGAAATTACCAAAATGAAAGTTGTATATCTCAAAAAGTTATGAAATTTTGTAGTTCACAACTTTTTGATTTGAGAATATCTCGTCAAGAAAAACTATGTTTGAATTTCTAAAATTTTGAAATATGAATTTTTTAAAAGACCTTGGATGGACAAACAACAAAAATAAAAATTATAGATCTCAAAAAGTTATAAAACTTTGTAGTTGACAACTTTTTGATTTGAAATCATCTTGTCATGGAAAACTACGTTTGAATTTCTCAAATTTAAAATTCACATTTTGTAAACGACCTCGGATGGAGAAACTACCAAAATGAGAGTCGTAGATCTCAAAAAGTTATGAAACTTTATAGTTAATAACTTTTTCATTTGAATTCATTTAGGGCCTCAAACAATCAATTTAAACTCAGTTTAGCATAATACGTGGAGAAAGAAAATCAATTATGGACAGAAATGAGTGATGGGTGGAGTGGTTAGAGGAGGAAATGTGTGAGTCTGAGGTCACGAGTTTGAAATCCAGCAGCCGCAAAGTGCGAAAAAATGCGACGTGTGGCTAACCGGTGAGGGCCTCCCTGAATAAAAAATCATATTTTTTTGACCCAGATTTGTGAATTTTTTGAAATGGATTTGTAGGTAATTTGGATATTGAGCCGCCTCTACAAATAGTGAGCCACCCCTACAAATCCGATTTATAGGGGTGGCTGACCAACCGTCGCTACAAATAGATCATTTGTAGCCACCTTTTGATAGGGACGGTTGGCAAAACCGTCCCTACAAATCATCAAAAGCCGCCCCGGATTTATGAATTTATTAAAATAGATTTATAGGGACGGTTGAATATTGAGCCACCTCTATAAATAGTGAACCATCCCTACAAATTCGATTTATAGGGGTGGCTGATCAACCGTCCCTACAAATAGACCATTTGTAACCACTTTTTAATAGGGACGGTTGACAAAACCACCCCTACAAATCATCAGCCCTGTAAAGGTTACGTGTAGTAGTGATAGTGATGGGAGTGAGGCGAGGTGTGGGGGAGGAGAAATGGCCTTTTAGAGACGAGCACTCCATGCACGAACTCTTCAAGTTCTGGTGCTGAAACGCAGATTAAATAAAGGCTAGACACATGTCGAGTCGGTTCACAATACAGAGATCAAAATGAATGAGGGGTACGACGTACCATTACACGATTCTGTTTTAAGAAGCACTTCAGCACGTAGCAGCCCTGGCTATAGTGGCAGATCTGGGTATGCCACCCCAATTCCGAATGAGCGGTCGTTCACTGGAATTAATATCAGTGAACGCTCCAAAGCGGTGCTCTTTTTTTTTTAGTTCCAGGATGTCAGTAATAATTTGTTATCCTTTTTTTTACTCGCCGTCCCTTCCGACCTTGCAATTCTAGTTAACGGTCATGTTTAGTCTGACGTACGTTCAATTTCCTCACTTCCGTCCTTTTATCTTTTATTTGTTTTCTCTATTGCATTTTATTTCCTCACTTCTTTTTTTCTTCTTTTATTTTTCTTGCTTTTTTATGTATGCTACCGACATATCTGCTAGTATGTTATAATATTAATTTATACATTTAAGTTGTATAGAATAACTTATGTACACAAGTTGTATTTGATAATTTTTTATACATAAGTTGTGTTTCGTAACTTTAGTGTTTTAAGTTTTGGTATAAGTTATAAGTTAGTTCGTTCCTTTGTGTTTAATAAATTTTGTGTTTCTAAGTTTTAGGCATAAGTTATAAGATAATTTGTTTCTTTTGTGTTTAATAACTTTTGCACATAAGATGTGTTTTATAACTTTTGTGTTTTTAAGTTTGAACATAAGTTATAAGTTATATGCTATAAGGGGGAATTCTTTGTATGCCATTAAAAAAGATCGCAATGCTCTGTGTGCCTCTGAAAAAGTTCAGCGGTCTTCAGCGCCACTGCTCCAACTTTTTGTGCCCTCCATGCCACTGCCATCAGTTTGGGCTCTAACGCCGTCAAACTGCAGGCGTAAAAAGTCGAAAATACCCTTAAGTCTAAATATGTCATTAATTTTTTTGAGTATCTTAACGATTTCAAATGAAAAAACTCAAAACTAGAAAGTTGTAGATCTCGTCGAGATCTATAATTTTCATATAAAATTATCTTCATTTAATTTCGCAAAAAAAGATATGATTTTTGTAAGATATATTTTTTTTGTGTGCCCCTGGAAGAGTATTGCTAAATAACACTCGGGTGTTTGGTCACCTCTCACACACGAATTCTTGGCCACACGATCTGACTGTGTCAGCTGCGCCCGTACGGCTTTGGCTCCCATCTCCGCCTCAGGCGACGGCGCCGCGTGCAGCTCCCCCGGCCGGATAGCAACAGGCAGCCAGGCCGGTCCTCCACCGCCGCCCCCAGGCCGGATCTCCGCCGCAGCCCCCGCCGAGCCCAGGCTGGACCTCCGCCACTGCCCCTGTGTCGCCCCCAGGCTGGCCCCAGACCGGACCTCCGCCGCTGACCCTGTGTCGCCCCCAGGCTGGCCCTCCGCCACCGCCGCAAGGCCGGCCACGGCTCCCTAGGCCGAGCCCGCGCGCCGCCATCCCTGACCGGCACCAATAGCCCCCCACGGCATGGTGCTTTGCTCTGCTCGGCAATTTGTCTAAAGAATTTGTAATTTTTTTCTGAAATTTGTTTATAATTTGTGAACAATTTGACATATATCTCTATGATATTTGTAATCCATAAAAATAATTTGTTTTTTTTCTGAAACATTTAGCATATATTTCTCTGAGATCTACAGTCTTCCAAATTACATCACTCTGTCAATAAATTATACTAAATAAATCAGTGTAAATATAATAATAAGACGGTGTAAATATAGTTAAAAGACGATGTAAAAGCATGTAAAAAAAACAGGTGCCAGAAGTTTCTAAAACGCTCACTTGTTGGTTAGACATACTAAAGAAAAACATGGTCTGAGACTGCACCTTCAAGCATCAGTTTGCTGGTCCAGGGTATATATATCACAAAACGTCAGGTTATGAGAACCTCGCATCTGGCATGAACTCCACTAACATTCTGTGAGTTGGGACATCCTCCAAAGAGTCTTCTAATGATGGGACTCGAGGAGGAGAAATGAGTCCGTGTTTAGTTCAAAAAAAAGTTCTAAAAAAGTGCTACAGTAGCCATCACATCAAATCTTACGATACGTGTATGGAGCATTAAATGTAGACGAAAAAAAACTAATTGTACAGTTTGGTTGGAAATCGCGAGACGAATGTTTTGAGCCTACTTAGTCCATGATTGAACATTAATTACCAAATAAAAACGAAAAATGCTACGGTAGCCAAATTTTCAACTTTCACCCAACTAAACACGGGCTGAGGATAGCATGGCCCTAGAGAGATGAGCCCAGCTTGCACCAACTCTGCAAGTACTGGTGCAAAAAGCCAAAAATGCAGATTAAATAAAGGCTAGCCACGTGGAGTCAGTTCATAATTAATCTGCGAAGCATCACATGAATGACGGAGCAAGACCGTTACACGATTCTGTTTTAAGATGCACTCCAGCATGTAGCGGCCCAAGCTGTAGTGCGTGGCACACCAAGGATTTGGCCATATAGCTCCCGTTCGGCTTACTTTAAATTCGATTTATTTGGCTTTTTTTCCAGACAGAATAATGTTTTTCTCTCACAACATTTTAATCAGAACAGTGTTTTTCAGCCAAGTTTCAGCAAGCTGAACGGGGCCATATATGGTATCTGGGTACGCCGCCCTAAAATTTTCGCATACAATTTGGTAAATCTATTTAGCAATTGGGTAAATAATGGTAAATTTTACCTGTAATTAGGTATACAAGGACTAAATAATAAAATAGTTCAAATTAAAGCAGATCACAATATATGCCACTCGTTTGGCCTATGGTTTCTATAGGACGTCAGCGAATGAGTGATATCACCTTTGTGCAATAAAACTAATGTCTGCAGCCAAGCTATTGAAATCGGTCTTGTTGCATTGAATCTTATTGTGACATTGGTTATTAAAATAGGAAGAGTATACTAATGTAGTATGGATGGATTGAGTAATCTTATTTGCAGTTATTCATAGTCTATTCTTGGTGATCGAAAGCATTTGATCTTAACTTAGTGGATACCACCGGTGGCTATGGAAGGGCCAATTGCTAGAGCCCGAGCAACTTCCATAGCAATTGGCCCTTCCATAGAATATCAAGAACCCTTTTTCCCATTGGCCCATCAAATATTACTGTTGCTGAGTTTGAGACTCAAGCATTGGCGGACTGAAGCCAACCACTAGCTCCTTCACCAGCTCTACCTTGCTCTCCCTCAAAAAAAAAAAAAAAAAAGCTCTACCTTGCTTTACTGAACCAGGGCACCAGAGAGCCGCCAGCCAAGTCACAACAGGGAACAGGCCATGTGGAGCAATGAAGCCAAGATCAGCTTGCCTTGGATCTTGAATTGCAGACGCCTAAGCAACCAAAAGTTTTTCATGACGGCCTGAGGCGGGCTACATATCTAGGAATGCAAGCGGCGCAGGTTCAGCCGCCAGCCCCCAAGAACCTAGGATCTGAAATACTGCACCTCTGTAAGTCCCCATACCTCCCATGCCGATTGCAACTATTTAAGATACAAAAGATATATAGGACGCAAAGAGTAATCTCTCCTATTGGTGCACACATAATCACCCCCTTTCATGCGCTATTGCTCTCCATTGCTAATGTGGTGGAGCTTATATATCATAGAACTAGATAGAGAAGACAAAAACACATAAATGATGGCCATAGCCATACGTAGCTTTGTAGATTTTGGTTCCAGTTCTTGGCTTTATTTACTCTAGTACAGGAGTACATTCGGTTCATGCATTATTGTATTAATTTTTCTGGTACCATTTTAGCAGTTGGGTAAATAATGGTAAATTGTACCCTGTAATAATTAGGTATACAAGGACTAAATAATATAATAGTCCAAATTAAAGAAGATCACAATATATGTACTCGTTTGGTCTATGCTTTCTATAAGACGTGAAAGAATCAATAGTTTTGAGCATCTCAGCAAATGCGGGATCTCACATTTGTGCAATTAAACTAATGGCTGCAGCCAAGCTAATAAAGTCTTCTTGCATAGAATCTGGTGCCATTGGTTATTAAAAATAGGATGTGTAATTGTGTATACTAACGTAGCAAGGAAGATGGATTATTGAGTAATCTTATTGACAATTGTCCATAGAGGATTCCTAAAAACACAAGGTGAAAGCATTTGATCCTAACTTGGACTACCTCGCGTGGCTATTTTTTGGAAAATGGAAAAATCCTGGCTCATGTCTTACAATGTTGTCAGCTTATTCGTTGACATTATTCGCTCACATTACAATGAGGACTACCTTCCGTGGTTATGCAAGGAACAATTACTAGAGCCCGAGCACCGCAACTAAATCTCACCTGATATATTATCATAAGGACTGAGTTACTTCGACCTAATGGAAGATCGAGCACCCCTTTTCCCATCAAGTGGCCCATCGAGGACTACTAGTGTGGAGTCCGAGACTGAAACAATGGCGGACAGGAAGCCAACCACAGGCTCCTGCTACTTCTGCTACGCACGGTTCACAATGTCTGCATGGGAACACGTCTACTGCACCTTTGGATATCTTGTACCTTCCATGCCGAGCTGTGTAGAGATGAAGGCAACAATTTCTCTAAACTTCGTGGTTGATGGAGTGGATCAACATGGCCTGAAACTGCATCTACAAGAATTATGCTGGTGATAGGTAGCACAAGACGACAGTTGGCAGGTGATCAGAGATATATAAGGAGGGCATGGAGCATGGACCCAGAGCTAGTGGTGCAGATAATGCAGATTAAATTAAGGCTAGGCTCATGGAGTTGCCTCATCATACATAAATCAAAGTAGAAAGAAGTACAGGAGAGGAAAGTAGACCAGTAAGTGTAAGATTACTCATTTACTCGTCTCTGTTTTGAGAAGTACTGCAGCCATCCAGCAACTAGCGCCCCAGGTCAACACCACCATGGCTCCCGTTCTCCTTCATCTCCATTCATCTCATAGGCGGTGCAGAGCATAGGTGGCCATCTTGGGTAAATCACCTCCCAAAGGTGATTGAGGGAGGGGATAAGGCTTCATTTGACAACCTAGGGGTAAAACCCATGTGTGACACAATCAAGAGGCGGTTGGATTGATCCTCCCTCCCACCCAACCCCCCTTCCTGATTCCATATGGTTATTTGGGACTTGGATCGGCTTGGATTCCTATTTTGGTCCTACCCAAACTGCTTTTGCGCTGGTACGGACTACCGAATCTACAAAATTGATTGAAAAACAGAACAAAAATAAGCATAACTGATCAAATAAGTAGAAGATATGGTTATGTCAACACAAACTTGTCTCACACTCGAAAAGTGTCTTAAACTAAAAGGAAGTTAGAAAAACAATCTGAAACATGCCACACCGTTCATATCGGGGAACAAGCTCAAGGTTGCCGCATATCTATATGAACCTCATACTGCAAATAAGCTTGAGGGTGGCCCATATCTATACGAACCTCATACTATAGACTAAAATCTCACAATGCGTTCTCCAACATTGGAGTAAAAATTAAAAAAAAATAAAAGACTGATAACATGTAAATTGAAGAATCTCATCTGAAAAAGATCCAAAAACTTCGCTGGAAAGATAGTAAGTCCAACACCTCAATGTTCAGGTTTTTCGCTCCATACCTGCACAAAATTAGCCCCTCCACTGAACTGAAGAATAAATATGCTGAGTATACTTTGTTGTCTCAACTCACATGTGAAGTAGTGCATGGCCTGTTTATAAAATGATTATATCGTGCAAGTCAATTTAAACAAGCAACTTGGTTCACAGAATCACATACCATGCACAAGGCAGGCAGCTACCTAGTCAGAGGGAGTCACGGAGGCAGAGATGCTTTTATGTGGTGCGTTGAGTGGGGGATTAGACATGTCAAGAGGCACGTGTGGATCTGAGGAGGGGACGCAGGGACAAGAAATGTGTGTTTGGAGTCCATAGGTGCTAGACAGGATTCCCCCGTGAGTATGGCTCTCTCAGTTGCTGCCCAAAATTTTCTACTGGCTATCCGCGATGTTTGCTTTGCTCATTCAATGACGTGAAGGCTCTGTCTGTCATGGATGGATGGCTCCTGCTTCCTAATCATCATTTTCTTAGATAATGGATTTTCATTAATCCGGACTCTATATCCACAAAGAATATACATAGCCAAAAAGATACAAGGGCACTTGGACACACACATCAACGAAGAAGAGAACACACGACCAAAAGAAAAATAAAAAACTACGACCTCAGCACATCCCTTCATCCGTTTCAAGTGAGCTGACGCCATGTGTCAAGCCGGTTAGCCCACCTTCATCCATCATTGTCCAGTCAGAACTAGCCGATCAGACGCGAGTCGACAAGATTTGCTTTTGCTTCACCGGGCTCCTAGGCCGCCGCCATCCCTAGGACACCGCTGCCTACCGAACCACCTTGGCTGGATCCAACTTCTCTCCGCTGAGTATTGGCCGTCGACGCTTAGGCCATCGGCCGATCAGCACGTATGGGCAAAAACCTAGGCACGCACAAGCGCGCGCGGCTTCGGCCACAGCCGTGTCCACCTAGTCGCAAGCCTGGCCTAGCCGGCGAGCGCGTGAGGGCAAGCACATCCGTGCGCGGGACTCCGGCCACGGCCCCAACCACCCGGCCTAGCCGTTGCGTGCGTGGGGCCGAGACACTCGGATCTGGATGTGATCCAGCACCGAGCGCGTGGAGTTGAGGGAGATGCCCCTCTCACCATAGGGCCCGCCGTAGACGAGGCCGACGCGGAGTGGCTTCCCCTGCTCCCCCGCCTCCATTCCACGCTGCTCGTGGTTGGACACCACCGCGTGGAACGGAGCGAGACCTCACGCCGCAGACGAAACCCCAGTGGCCACAGCCCTGGCCACCCAGCCGCCGACTGGCCTAGCCAACGAGCACGCGGGAGCACGGGCACGTGCGGGTCTCCAGCCGTGGCTCTGGCGACCCGGCCGCCACTTCCTACTCGTCATAGGTTTAGGTTATCTGTATCTATTATGGTGTACAAAAACATCACATAGTGTCTGTCGTTGATCACCGTATTTCTAGCAGTGACGGGATGCACATGCAGACGAGGGGCACCAAGCTTGACTATTTCTACTAGTCCATCAACCCGTGCTCTCGCACGGGTTATAATTTTATGAGATACAAGTATTAGGTACTGTTCAACAATTCCTTTGTTCCAAATTATAACATGTTTTGGCTTTTATAGATATATTTTTCTTATCTGGACAATACATCTATAAGTGGACAACAAAAGTTATGTATTTAGAAAACTTAAGACGTCTTATAATTTGTAATAGAGGGAGTATATCTAATTAGTGTTACTTATATTAAATTGTATGTCTTTCTCTTTATTTATTTTCTAACATAATATACATAGTAGATACTCTGTACTCTTATATAGTTATCATAAACTTATTAACTACTATTTTTTCAAGGAATTAATCTATATATATTTTTATCCATATTCATATTTTTCCTTTGCGTGGCACCTCTATATATTTTAAATATGCAATTACTTTGAAACATTATCATTAATCATGGTGGCTCTTGTTGCATCATGTATCATATGAAGCCATGAATCTACAGCCTGTTCGCTTGTTCGTAAACGATCGTAAATTTTCAGCCGGGAACAGTGTTTTTCTCTCACACCAAACCAGCCAGCAGTAAATAATCCACGATACGATACGGCCTCCCGAACAGGCTGCTAAATTTTGATTTTTGAAATTTTATTCTTATCCACTTCGATGGATATTTTTTATCTCCTCAAGTTAAGTTGAAACTCTGGTTCTTATTGTATCTTTCATTAACTCTCCTTTTTACCCTTTTTAAAATAAGGATTTTAGGCCATAGAGTATGTTCTTAAGTGCTACAATAGCATAAGCCATTATTTGAAACATCTACCACTTAAGATAAATCATAGGACTTGAAATGAGATCTAAACAGGGGTAGCTATGCTAACCTTAAGAGAATTTTAATATTTATACCTCATAATGACTGACATTTTACTCAAAGGTATTCTTAAAGGGACATGAAAATATAGTCACTGGTCTGTACTTCTCAAGATAATTGAATTTTCCTATAAAGGAATTATATTTGGAGTTATGGTTATACTATCAATATGGGCATGTCAAACATTTTAGTTAAAATACATAAATATATCTAAAGTAATAGTCTATATAAATTATAGTTATGGTTATATAGTTTTAAATAATTTGTTATTATCATTGGTATACACTATACCACAGCCTATCTACAGCGTCCTACGGTAGGTCGCTATAAGTCAGTACAGCGACCTACGGTAGGTCGCTATATACATATAGCGTCCGACTTGACGCGTGGGTATAAGTGGCGTCGCTATAAGTTATAGCGTCCGACCTTAATTATAGCAACCGACAGTTTGACGGTACGTTAAAGATATACCGACCGACTGTTCGACGCCAAGTACATACTTATAGCGACTATTGGTCAGACGCTATATATTATATAGCGTCCAACTATCTGACACTATCAATACAAAAAATTAACAGCATAATTATTCATTAACCTCAGTATCAGTACTAATCGTACAATCAATGAACCATATATAAAATCATCAATTCCATTTTGGACAATATACACAATTATGACAATGAAGCTCATCATAGCTCACAATTATATCATTATATCATATCCATAAGCTCAACTTGGAGAAACAAGTTACATAAGGCAGTTTGGCCATCAAGATAGAATAATGCATAGCTCATATATAGATGTTTGCACTAGTTGCACAGTTTACATCTCATGGTTTGCTCGCACTGATTACAATTCATCACTTAAACAAAAGCATTCATCTCTAATTAGAATGTCCAAAAGCATTCATATCTAGTTAGAATATCCAAAATAATGCATTGGCCATGCGAAATTCCATCCAATTGCTTCCTGCATGCATCAGGCCCCCCTAGCCATTACCTCCCACCTGCAAATAAAAGATATAATAAACTGATAGTTCCAATCCAAATAGCAGCTGAGATGTAATTCGGCTAAGTAACATGCTTTTGACTTGGCTACCTAAATAGTGTGTAGATTTCAGGACTAGTACTACAAATATTCTAAAACTGACCACAATTTTTTCTTGACCATACCAAGCTGGTGCTACTTGCATTCATAGCCCTTCCCTGGGCACACAAATACAGAGGTAAAAGTGACAAGAGCCCTATTCTCTCCAACATGCTACATTGTGCTTAAGTGTTGATAACAAGAACCCTTTGATTTTTCTACTAGCAGACAAACCACAAAAGAAGGTACCTCAAAAGAGAATACATGGCAAGAGTTCTAAATTTTTTTTACTTCTTCCATAAAACTTACATTTATTAATACAGTATTAATGCCCTTGATGCTTTACATGCCATCAGGTGTCTACTGAACTCACATTATGCTATTATAGTAAATATTAACCATAACTCTACGACAACTTGTATTTTTCCTTCTAATAATGAACTTGATGTTTCAGTACTGGCACCACTCAATAACCAAGTAGTTAACAATCTTGTATTTTCCCTTCTAATAATGAACTTGATGTTTCAGTACTATTAATTTTATATTTGAATTATGTAGGAATTGACTGTTTCACTGTAAAATCTAGTTCTCTAAATTTGGTTCAGAGAGATGAAGCTTAGCCTATAAAAGGCATGCATCTAACACTTGAAATCAATGTGGGGTAAAAAAAATTAGACAAGAATGAGATGGCCACAAACTTACTACGTGGCTCACTTCTGAAGTGATGGTTCTCCAGGCTGCCCTTGGCCATGTACTCCACCAGCAGGACCTCCTTGTCCTCCCTGCAGTACCCCAGCAGCCTCACCAGACTGGGATGATTTTGATGACTTGCAAAGCTTCAGCTGTTAGAGACATCACTAATTAATTCATCACATATGAAAATAAGAAACAAGAATAGGAGTTGCTTATTACCCAATTGTATGGCCATGCAATTCCTAGGTCCTTTGCATCGGCCATATTTTCAACACCAACATAAGGGCGAGACAACACAGTATCTCTTTTCATCACAACCGTAACCATAACTTGACAAAATTACCTTCCAAGAGCCTGTCCTGCTAGCACGCAGCTAGGATCAGTTGCAATAACTTTTCCCTTGGCCACAGGTTGAACAAACTTCATGTTTGGGTAAAGTATAACTTCTCTGCCAATCTGAAGCAAATGATGGATGTATGAGAACTGTATCAACTAATAAAAATACCACTAACCTAGAAGCGAAAAAATGGAGGATGAATGAGAACTTACATATTCGTCATGTGAGAAACGATTAGTATCACCATTCCTTGTATCGATGCCAAGACAAGGTTGCGGCTGCTGGGCATGAACATGGCTCATAACACATCTTTTCGCCCGTATTGAACAAGTGCTTAAAGTTAACAGATGTGATCCCAAATTTATCAGTTTTTACCCATGTTTCGACCGAGCTCGTACCAATAATTATTGGAATAGTGAATGCAATAGTGAAAGTTGTCTTAAATGGATATTGTCATTTAGAATAAGGGGAACCACCAAAATCACTCAAAGTTACTTATACTATACTTCATTAACTTTATGTCATCTATGGTGCAGTGAGAGGCATCCACACTAAGAGACCTTCAGGTCCACTAAAGCTAGTGACACCGACAAATGAAATACCCACCTGGAATTGGAAAGTAAGACGATCTTCAACCAATGATCGACAACTAATATTATATCAACTACATGTACCAACTCTTAATAACGGTGGGCAATGAAAACATGGGAATGGTAAAATAAAAATTAGCTGTACAGGGAATGGGCTTGATTTCTTTTATGTGGAGTCATGAACACTTATTTGTCTAACTAACAACTGGTCTAGCTTTATGCTGCTTTCGTGTTTGTTGGCTGCAAAAAAACTAAATTGCCAAACTGAAACTCTTATGCATAACATGACCGGAAAAAATGTGTACGATATAGCATGCGCACAATAAGCGAGGGGTAGGGAAGTGACCTGCATAGCGAAGTTGATTAGAACAATGGGTCCTCCCAAAGCGCTATATTGCACGATCCGCACTCCAAGGGAGTTCAAGAGTTATGTGTACTCTTCTCACGAAATTCAGTTCAATTCAATTCGGTCTCAGTCGTCTTGACAGCAGGCGGACAAGCAAGCAAGAAAAAGAACACATGCATATTAACTTTAACAAGAATAAACATTGCAAAATAGGGTGATCAGTTTGGAGGGGGAGGGGCCCCTGTCTTATAAGTAAACTTTCCATATTTCTCATGAGCTACACTCGGTTTTCAATTAAGCTATAGATTCTCTTGAACTATCCACAGGAAGCAAAAAAATAGGAAAAAATAATCTTAAGCCACAGTAATTGAATGTGGAGTAAATGAAGATCAAACTAAACCACAGTCCATCCGATGATCAAACTAAAGCCACAACTGACACACCGAGTAAATTTAAAGGCAACTGCTATACTTCCTACAATAAATCTAGATGACACATTGAAGCTCTGCATGAACTATGTATTCATTTTTGCCATATGCCAAATCAACTAAGCAACATCTGGGATGCAGAGAGCACACTTAGTTTCTATGCCACGTGTACTTGTTGATTTGGCCCAGTTAAGCAAATAAGCAACAATAAATGTGTCCACTATAATAAATAGAAGGCACAGTTAGTAGCGAAATAGAGATCCATATCACTACATGGAGAATCTTTACCAGAATCGAGAAAAGACAAGCAGCAACAATGGTAGCGAAGTGGTAGAGAGCACTTTACCCGATACTCGTGAGTCTAATCCATGAGCTGGTTCCTAGTGCTTGCCGAGGGCTCGATGAGGCGCCTGAGATCTTCGCGGCTTTTCTTAGGGCAGAGGTCCAAGGAGCACCTTCTTCTTGTACGCCAGTGCAACCACGAATACAACATGCACAGATCCATGATTTAGTTAGTAAGGAGGTGACGCAGTCAACAGCAGCAAACACAGTGTAGAGGGACACCGTGGCTCCCTTACTTTGGATCTGGCCGTGCGGAGGGAGATAGGGGGAGAGCTGGTTGTGGCGCTAGTGCAGAAGAATGGAGGACCCCAGAGGGGGTGGGGATGGGGGTGCGGGTGCGGGTGCAGAGCAACTTGGAGGGGGTGGGGGCGCCGTATGTGGTGGTGGGGCAGGGGGACCTAAGGTCACTGACGGGTGAGGAGGGAGGGGCGAGCTGAGTTCACCGGCTGTGCTGACCTGGAGACGACGTCGAGCTGAGGTCGTCGGCACGGAGCGGCCGGACTGAGGTCGCCGGCCCGCTGACTAAGCGCGCGGAGGAGGCTAGGGGGGCACTGGTGAGGGCGGCCGGCCGATGGCGGCGAGCAGTTCTCAGGGGGCGGCTCCGTGTGCAGGACCGTGGTGGCCGCGATTATTTTTCTTCGATTGGAGCCAGCGGCGACGGGGTGCTGCGCTGGGGTTTGGGGAAAGGGACCGTGGGTTACTGGGGTGAGCGCCCAGGGGAGACGGGAAATGGGCTGATGTGGTGTTGCGCCTTGGCGGGCTGGAGTGGCGGGCTCCAAATTTTTTTTTCTGACAGGTGTGTCCAAATCTACTAAACACACTACACGTGGGCTACAGGCTGACAAGCGGGCTCCACTAAAATTTTAGCGCCAACTATGTGGGCTCCACTAATATTTAGGCGCCAATCGGGCTGAATGTTGCCCAAATCAATGTAGCACCTGATTTTAAGAACAAAACCAGATACACACCATATGTGAGCCCAGGAAATCAAATCTCACATATAGCTACAAATAAGGGTAATATTAAAAGGCAATGCTTAAATACATAGCGTATTAGTATAAAGAGTATAACCTCAGAGTATAGACAGTGGAAAGACAACTCCGATCTTTAAGTGAGTACTCCAAATCCACAGGGACAACTGACTGGTTGACCACAAGCCTAATTCCTCCAAACTCTATCAATCTGGTACGCATCTAGGATTTTTATCCAAATATGTGAAAAATAAAACAAGCGTAAGTACATGTCGTACTCAACAAATATAACATGGGGTTTATGAGGCTCAAAAGGCTGACACTGGTTCAACTGCAATTAGCTTTTAATGAGTCGTCTTTTAGCAATTGAGTAGCAACAAGTTTATCACCAGCCCATATAAACACATGATCAGGTAAACATGAGTAATGAATAGCATAAACAATTAACCATTAGTGAGTATCTTCATCATCCATATCATCAGTGTTCATCATCTATTCCGTAAGGGTTCCAAGGCCGCTCATGACCGTGAGCACGGCTGATATACCAGTTTTACACTCTGCAGAGGTTGTACACTTTCACTGTGAGTCGTGATTTACCCTTTTACCCGAGGTGATCAGCCTCTTGACCCACTACCAAGGAAGGTCGGCAGGGTTCACTATGAAGCCTTTCAAAGGTTCGTCTAACAAGTTAGGGCCATTAGATTCACTCGGCAAACAGATGTAGAGCCCCCCTTCCCGATGGCACATTGACACGCAACCTATACACATGGGGATAGAGGCTGCACTATACCCAATTCGGCAAGCCATTCTTACGCCAATAAAGGTAACCACTAACAAGCTAGAAAAGGTTCTCATACTGAGCTAAAGCCAGAGCCATATAGCCCTCACAGCTGTACTATAAGTCCTGGATGATCACTTATAGATAAGTCCTTATGGAGAGGAATCTAGAGCACCATAAAATAGCCTAATGCTCTAGCCCCGTGGTTCCATGTTGCTAAAAAGCATTTTTTAATATTTATTGCATATACCATTAGTCAAGTTACAAGATCATGGTTGTAGTTGAGCACTAGCATCATACTACCCAATGCAATAACCCAAAGGTAACAAGGTATAAGTACAAAAGACTAGGATATCCTTATTGGTAGTCAAGGTAGACACATGCAGCATGAACTAAATGATTAAAGGTGAATAGGTAACAAGGAAGATCTCATGCTATACTTGCCTTAAAACACCGATCCTTCGGTATGCTTAAATCTTCAACGTTGTTCTTCTTCTTCTAGATCACCACGTATATCTCACCGACTGGACTTAATCATAAAGCACCACGCAAGCATCCATACAATCATAGATGAAGCAAACAATAGATCTAAATTAGAACAGTACACCAAACATAAAATCAAGATGAAAAGTTTGTAAAACGAATCTACGTCTCGCTACGAACACACAGACGCGAAAAGCACGCTAATCGGAGCTTCGGTTGAAAAGATACATCTACCGATAGATTTGCTTTATATGTGGAAAAGAAAACTATAGGCTTCATTTATTTTAACTATATAAAAGCTTATATAAATTTAATCAAGTCAAATTTAGATTTGACTTATAAAACTAAAGTAAAACAAATCATATTTTATTTATAAAATCTAGTTGCATAATTATAAATCAAGATATGATTTAAACCATGAAATTCTAGAAATAGTGATATGGTAACCACTATTACTAACGTGTAGATCTTGTTGCAATGAATCTAACACAACTTGAATGGGCTAAAACGGAGTTAAAACGTAGAAGATATGAAATAAATAAGATTTCCTTTATTAAAATAATAGATTAAATCTAATCACGAATTTTAAAAGTTAAAAACACATCTAACAGTAGTATGAACATGTAGGTTATGAAATTATGAACCTAGCGCAATTTGAACGGATCAACTCGGAGTTAAAACGGACAAGTTATGGCTAAAACAAAGCAGTGGCAAAACTGTAAATAGCTGAAAACGTATTTTTGAAGTCAATTAAACGAAATACGCTTTTAAAAGAGGAAAACAGAAACTTGGGAATACGCAAAGGACGGCGGGTTCTATTTTTGAAAAAGCGAGGGGCTCTTTAGCTAAACTTCCATGCGAAGGGGTAAGTTCTATTCCTAGCCCTTGATCTAGATTTGGACGGCCAAGATTGCGCGGGTGGAGGAAGACGGCCGGAACAGAGGAAGTCGCGGCGGCGCGCCATTGACGACGACGAGAAGCTTCGCGGCGAGCTCGGTTTGGGCAAGTCCGAGCCTCATGAGACACGGGGAAGGCACTAGGAGCAAGAGGGAGGTGCGGCGAACCCATCTGGGCGACCAATTGCAATTAAAAAGGAGCATAGGCATGCGGGCAGCAAGCTATGGCGGCGGCGGAGCATCTACGGCGCGGGA